CGGCCGACCCGAGTTCGATTCCTCCGCCCCTCTCGGAGAGCCCAGCAAGTTACCGAGAGTATTCTGCCTGCACGGCAAAGCCTGGTAAGTTACCCGTGACGTATTCGATATGCCAAAAACAGTAACAACAAGTTTCGCAATGGAGACTTTCCTGGTGCCGTCTGGAGCAAATCCGTGAACAACGGAAGAACAGTGCTGCAGTGCTACCCATTCTCCATAATTACCACATCACATTTGATGGGGTTTAGATAGTAGGCAACAAATCATAGAGGGAAATATATATATGCATATATATACACATATTTTTAGATATATATACAAAAACTCACATCACCCAAACCTTAACAAGATGTTAGTGATATCCCATAGAATGTCTTAATGGCTCCTGCCAAAATAGAACAATCTTCACGCTGTTTCCTATACGAACATTTTTTGTAAGCATGTTCAGCAGTTCTTCATAACAGACAATACGAAATAAATTATTTTGGTTATGTTTTGGGACAGGGATTGGGGTTTGGGATGGAAACATCATGAATTTGGTGATGGGAAGGTGTAATGGTGGTGGGATTGGTGTTTGAATATTGAGTGTAATCAAACATTGTGAACTAACTTATGAAATTTTAAAAAAATGTAATGTGGAGTTCATGCCCAATTTAATCAGCTTAATCAATGGCTGAATAAATAGCAGTGCTCATATATATATATACACACACACATATATATAAAGCCGGAGTGATAGCACAGCGGGTAAGGCACATGCCTTGCACGCAGCCGACCTGGCCAACCCTGGTTTGATTCCTCCACCCCTCTCGGAGAGCCTAGCAAGCTATCGAGAGTATCGTGCCCACACGGCAAAGCCTGGCAAGCTCCCCGTGACATATTCGATATGCTAAAAACAGTAACAAGTCTTGTAATGGAGAGGTTACTGGTGCCTGCTCAAGCAAATCAATGAACAACAGGAGGAAAGTGCTATACAGTGCTATATATAAAGATTTCTGAAACCTCATCTTTATTCTGATCCCCACAGGTTCGAATCCCACCTTTCGTGTTGTGCTCATCAGGCTGCCTTGTGGGCACCAGGAGCCTCCCTCCCTGCCACCCCCATCCTTCTTGCTGGATCCTTGACATAAGGGTTTAAATTCCGCCACTGTAGCCCCTGTTCCCTTCCTGTATCACTTCACTGTGACCTTGCTGGCCTTTCTTTGATGGGTCTCAAGACCAGGGGCCATTTGTACTTTTTTATTACTAGACCCAGAATCAGTCACTTTTCCTGTGAGTGGGACCCAGAGACCACAGCCTGGTGGTCTAAGTGTTCTTCTGATTTTGGGTGACCAAGACTTCTAGGCTATTCCGTGGACAAACTAGGAACTATGCTTTTATTTAAGAGAAAAGTATACAGTGTGAATTTAGACTGCTATTTCCAATTCACTTTGAAAAAATACAGGGTTTGTATTTAACTTCCCTGATTTTATACTATATCATTTTTATGCTGAAAATTATGGTTCTAATGATGGCAACATAATCCTTTAATAAAAATATCAATACTAATAATATGACTACTGAGTGAAGTTTATGATTTCCTCTCCTCTTTTATTATCCATAGAATATTTCCTACTTGGGATGTGGAGTCAAACTGCTGTGTTTTAAAGCCACTTGAAATCATTGTTTTCCTTATATGGCTATGCCACACACTTTATATGCAATAGGATTCATTCTTTTCACTTTATTTCCACATTTTAAGGGGCTAATTTTTCTCTGTGTGACTAACATTTAAAAAATTATATAAAATATTTATAGTCAAAATAAAAAATATTAAGTTACATCCACAGAAACCCTGCTTTCGTACCTATCCCCTACACTCACTGTTTTTCTCTCAACAACTATTAAATTTGCTTTTTGATCTATCCTTCCAATATTATTATATAATAAAAAGATAACCTACCTTTATCAGTTTATCATCTATTCATCTATCTAATTGCCCTTCTTCTTACCTAAAAGATACCAATACCATATTATTAGAAATAATGCTCTGCTTGCTAAGGTATTTTACCTAGTTTATTTCTTCACGATATAAATATATGGAGATATTTATCATTCCTCAGCTATTATTTGAGCAAACCAACTGTAAGACATTTTATTGTGATAGTTGGAAGATCAAATGTCATTGGGGTGTTAAATATAAGAAAATTTTGATTGATTTTTACTAGGTGTGATGATGACTATATCTATGAAGGTACATGTCATTTTGAAAAGATTTACTTTTAGTTATTGTTATATATCTGTAATTTATTTAAGAGTGTTTTCACATAAAAAGTAAATATAAAAATGTAAGCAATGATTAGGATATAGATCTATGGAAGCTTGTTATGCTATTCTTCTTCTGACTCTACTTAAATTTTTTCATACTAAGCATATTCAGTGGCCAGGGATGTGGCTCAGTGTAGTACATAGGATGTGTGAATCCATGTATTCCTGGCATAGTCTCCTCCCAACCCAGAATCCATAGAATGGGTCTATAAGGCACTACAATCTTCCAGGTTCTTCAGGTTCTTCATTTCCTGGAGCAACTGCACCAGATGTCTGAACTCATCGCTCCAAATCCTGCTGATTCTTTGCCAACATCTGATCTAAAGCCCCTGGCAATGTGGAGGCTGGGAGCCTGCACCACACAGATTGTGTCATGGGTTGGTGGATTCTGCCCTCTCTTTACCATCTGCAGAGCAATCGCTCCATTCTGGAAATCTCTGAATGTAGAAGTCAAAGAGACAGTGACAGTGTGGGGGAGGACTTGAACATTCTTTTTTTTCCCCAGCTGACATTTTGTTTATTGTTAAAATGATTGTAGTTTTAGAACTTGAGCTTCAATTGTATTTCTGGCTGGTAAAGTTGGTTTTTTAAAAATTTTTTAAATTATTTTCATTAGGGAAACACCATGAGGTACAGTTGTAGACTTACAAATTTTTGTGCTTGGGTTTCAGTTATACAATGATTGAGTACCCATCCCTCCACCAGTGCCCATTCTTCACCACCACTAATCCCAGTATCCCTCCCACCCCACCCCCATCTCTCCATCCCACCCCATCCCTGTGACAGGGCATTCCCTTTTGTTTTCTCTCTCCTTTTGGGTGCTGTGGTTTGCAAAAGAGGCATTGAGTGGCAATCATGTTCGGTCTATAGTCTACTTTCAGCATGCATCTCTCATCTTGGGAGGATTCTCCCAACACCCTTTATTTGGTGCTCTCTTCTCTATCTGAGCTGCCTTTTCCCCTAGCATGTGCGGCTGGCCTCCAAGCCACGGAGTGAACATCCTGGTACTTATCTTGGCTATTCTTGGGTGTCAGTCTCCTATTTTGTTACTTTATATTCCCCAGATGAATGCAATCTTTCTATGTCTGTTCCTCTCTTTCTGACTCATTTCACTTAGCATGATACTTTCCATGTAGATCCACCTATATGCGAATTTCATGACTTCATCTTTTCTAACAGCTGCATAGTACTCCATTGTGTAGATGTACCAAAGTTTCTTTAAACATTCATCTGTTCTCGGACACTAGGGTTTTTTCCAGATTTTGGCTATTGTGAGTAGTGCAGCAATGAACACAGAAGTGCAAGTGTCATTTCAACTGTTCCTTTTTGCCTCTCCTGGATATATTCCCAGGAGTGGTATTGCTGGGTCAAATGGGAGCTCAATTTTTAATTTTTTGAGAATCAGGACTTGAACATTCTTTACTGGAACCATGCACATCCCAGCTATCTCAAAAAGTAGCTCTTTGGTCTCTGTTAGTCCCTAGGCTCTCCCTGTTCTCTCAAGTGTTGGGAGACAGCCTATAACTCTTAGGATTCTCTCAAGGCTCACAGGGTTCGGGACAGCGGTGGCCTTAGACATCGTAACCATGGTGGTTACTTTGCGGTCCCTGCTCTCTCTGAGCTTGTCTCAGTGTGCAGCTACTCCTGGTACCTCTCTCTGTAGCAGTGGCCTTGGCAGCTCACTGCTCTCTCCCAGTTACTCTGCAACTCCACTCTCTCTACTGTTACGCTGTACCTGTCCTCTAGTCTTTCTAGTTGCTTAGAGTTGCACCTCTCCTGTGTTGCCCTCTCTACTCTCCCTTTCCCTTAGGGAGGCAGTGCCAGCATGGCAGCACCCCTTAGTTAACTGTGCCCTGTTCCCTGGTTCTTCCTTCCTCTAGATTTTATTCTCCAAGAGTCCCCACAATCTTGGGGAATTCTCTTCTATAGGGAAATAGAACAAAATGGCTCTGTGCCAAAGCCTTTTTCCCTACAAATACTCTAACAGTCACATTCAAGTAGTCAGGGAGTTAATTGTCACTCCTGAATCTCATTTCCAGCTTTCTTCAAAGTTCACTTTTTTTTTCTTCACACTGAGGATTCATTCCCATCCTGGGCTCTCAGTATATAAAATCAGGCACACAGCCCCTTCCAGGCCAGAAACCTAACTGACCGTGTTTAGAATGGGAGGAAAGCCAAATACTTTTACCAAAAGCCTTACAAGGTCATTTAAGATAGTGTGAAATGTTATTTTGAATATTTTAGTTTATTTTTGAAATAAAGTTTTTATACTTTTCTCCCTACTGTTGACTGTAAACCTTATTTTCTGCCACTGGAGTCAGAGGCAGCAATGTGTCATTTAAGCCATAGGCAAGCATGAACCATCAGTGGCCAATGTCAACATGTTTAGGCAATTCCTATTAAGTACATTTTCTTTTTAGTGAGTATTTTCAGGTGAGCACTTTGGTGAACTCTTATAGCCTTTACAAGTGTGAATTCTAAAAATCCCCTTGAAAATAAAAGCAACAAACAACAACAAAAAAATCCTCCTTCTCTGTTTTTTTCTTTTTTGTCACAAACTTTATTGAGAAAGTGGAAGCGGGTGGAAGCCAAACCTATTTCCTTGAAGTCTCACAGGTAATGTGGTCCCAGACTAGGGAACTCTGGGTGCATTGTGGGCAGAAGAAGATGAAGATCAGAGGCTGTGGGTGCTCGTGTATCAGGAACTGAGTTTTACATTTCCATACTGAAAAGTGAGTAAACTGAGACCCCACTGGTTCTGGGTGCCAAATATCACCAAGAGTTACTGCCATGACCAAAAACAGGGTAATTTTCAATCACAGTTGGGTGTCCTCTGAACTTGAAGTGTAAACATCCAGCTGCTTATGTGGTTGATCCCATGGTTTTCTTAAAGTCACTTCAGATCTGGTTTATCACCTTAGACAAAATGTATGGCTTAGGATCCCCACATCTTCTCTTTAATGAGAGGCATCATTTTATACCCAGAAATTGGGAGTCCTTTGGACTTCTTTTTTTCCTAGTGCGTTTCCTTCCCAATCTAGTCTCCAAGGCCTTACAAGGTCTGTAGTTTTACTCCTTCTTCTGCTTAATGAATTCTCTGTTCTGACTTGAGTTCAGAGAGAAAGATGAGTGGGTCAAGAATTAGGTTATGTAGTAGCAGCCTTATAGAACACAGATTTCAGTAGAAGAAAGAGTTTTTCCTCATTGATTACCACGAATCTGCTACTTGGCAAATAGAAAGAACTCCTCTATGGGAACATGGGGTTTTGACAAACCAGAATGACTTTTAGCTGTCAGTTGCTTCTTTTCTCTAATTTGAAAATTCTGGGAACCTGTATGACCTTTGGTACTTTAGAGTATATTTGCTTTAGTTTCTTAATCTACAAAATAGAAATAATTCTACTTGTTCTGCCTGTTTCACAAAATTGTTGTGTCTCAAAGAATTTATCAGTTGTAACTTATGAACAAGGTGACCATTGTCAAAAATTGGTCTACTTTTGAGAGTGATGGGGTAGGTTATCCTCTAAGGGCAGTAGAGGCAAACTGAGAGGATCTTGAGCAAACAGTCACCCGAATGTCCTACAAACAAAAGCTACCTTCCTCCACATTTTGGCCTCAAAGTTAATTACACACAGCACTGAAGGTGAGTATTCCCAGGGAGAGAGAAATGCCTTTGCAAATCACTATCTGCATTAGGTCCCTAGGGAAGCTATTTCAATTCCTTAAAGAATCTAAGAGAATTAGAGGATTTGTTTTTGGAAGCTACTGAACTGTGTGCTTTAGTCCCGCTACTATGTCTGGAAATCTGGCAGATTGCCAATATTAGCTCTTGGAAGGGAAAAACTTAAGATCAGGGATAAGGGTTGCAAGAGAGGCTGGGGGCGGGAGGGGGGTGGTGCTGGTAGGCTGTCATTTTCATAAGATTCCAGAATCATCAGTTGGGCCCTGTACTCCCCCAGCCCCCCCCCCCCCACTTTTTTTTCTTTTTTTATCTTTTCGCTTCTCTCGTTGATTTTTCCTCCAAGACTGTCTGAATACGCTCAGGTTGATGTGATGTCACTCTTGCCAGTAAGACTCAGTAGTTAGTGGTTTAATTTGGAGCTAACTTCCATTATGTCTTATACAGTTGATTTGGGGCAGGACTGAAATAAGGGAGGAGGGATGAGGCAATTGTCTTGGGTGCAAAAGTTAAAAAATTGCAGTGCTTTAAAACACTCAGTAAATCAAACATACATTTTACTTTCATGCACAAAAAATAATAAAAATTAAGACACAATTTCCCTTGTTGAGCTCATATTAAAATTTTAAATAAAGACTCAGTCAGGGTTGCATGTATGGGAGTCTGAGGAAAGGGAGAGAGCAATAATATTGATTCTGTCTTTAATGAAATTTTTGATATTTTGGCATAGATTTTTATGTAGTGTTGCTTTGGGGCCACACTTGGTGGTGCTCAGAGATTATTTCTGGTTCTGTACAAGGGATCACTCTGCTGGTGTTCAGGCGACCATATGCAGAACCAAGGATAGTACCAAGTTGGTCGTATGCAAGACTAGTGCCTTAACCCCTATCATATCTCTGGTCCCCAGACACTTACTTCACTACTACTACTACTACTACTACTACTACTACTACTACTACTATTGTTATTTTTTATTTGATCTGTCATGTAAAGAATCTGGAGCTAAAATTCCAGGAACTACCATTGCTATTGGATGTGCTTTTTTGTAAAGGGGCTTTTCTCAAGAATGAAGGAAACATCTATTGTGTGCTATAAAGTGCTGAGGAAGGACAAGATCAAGCAATTCCTGCAGGGTAGAAGGGGACAAGAGAAGGCCCCCGACCTTTAAGTGTGGACAGTTTGATGATAAACCAGAAGGCAGGCATCTCCCAGGCAGGGCCATGGACTGACAGGCACAAGAGGATTTGATCAAGGTCATGTCAGAATAGAAGCCTAATGGGCTGGAACAATAGTACAGAAGGTAGAACATTTCCTGGCATGTGGCTGACCTGAGTTTGATACCTTGTTGGCCCTCCATATGGTCCCCTGAATCTACCAAAGTGATTCCTAAGCACAGAACCAGTAGTAAGCTCAGAACACCATTAAGTATGGCCCCAAAATAAAAAAGCAAACAAAGAAAGGAAAAGAAGCATGAGATTGTGTATAAAAAGAAACGCCGAGACCAGGGAGACTGCTCAAAGGACCAAAGCGAATGCTTTGAATGTGGGAGTCCCAGATTTGATCCCTGACACTGCATGGTCCCCTGAGCACTGCCAGAACTGACACTTGACCTAGGAGTAGCTCCTGGGTACCAATAAATATGGTCCTCAAAACAAAGGGTGGGGGTCGGTGGAGAGAGGGGGAGGAGTGAGAGAGTGAGTGAGCGAGAGAGAGAGCACACGCGTGAGAGAGAGCGAGAGAGAGACAGAGACAGAGACAGATACAGAGACAGACATAGAGGCAGACTTTTATTTGCTTCAGAAGAGAATAAATAAAGTCCTTAAAGCGTTTTGTTGTCATTGTTTGGAAATGCCTTCTCTGTGCTTAGCCAAGATTCAGAGAACAGGACATATAGTTTAGTCCAGATGCCTCTGCAAGCTAAAAAAATCCTGGACTAGGGTGATACCCACTCCACAGCCCCCTCCTGCAAAAACTAGTTCCTGTTCTTATACCATCTCACCCTCTACTACTAAAATCTCTGCTGGGACTTTCCCAGGCCAAAGGCTGGCAGTAAACTTTACAGAAGCCCTGATAGTGAAGCTGATGGTGGTATGTATCTACTCAGGCCTTTCTCTTTCTAGGGGGCTTTCCCTTTGAATTTCTCTGGAAGCGGAAGTCAGAACCTAAGTAGTCACACAGAGAACTGCTTAACGGACTAACAAGGAAGTCTAGGGCTCCCCACTCACCCAGGCAAAACCACAAGGCTTCACCTCTGAAAGCCCCTTTGGTAAGGGAAAGGGAAGCAACACTGATTTGGTTTGAGTGTTCTTTGACAGAGGTCTGGAGAAAGTCATTAGACTATAACAGGTCCGGTCTAGGTGGCATCCAAGGCCCCAGAACAGAGAAACCAATCCTGAGTCCAAGTGAGGCCTGATCCCAGGCTTGCAGTGGCAGCTTCTGTGGGCTCCTTTTGTCTAGTCTGCTTTTACCCCGAGGGAGAGAGGCAGCTTGTATTTGTGGCTCTCCTCCCTCTGCCCCCACTGAACCTCAGAACTACTTGGTGGTTCCTCGGGAGCCCCAGTTCAAAAAAACCCTCCTTTTTTCTGAGAGGGTGACATAGCCATTGTCTCACCCCTCATATCCCCACAGCCTGGAGTGCTCCAGATCACATCCGTTGGACCACAAACCCTTGAGAAGAATTTGAGGCAGGGATTTATTTGGGAGGAGGGAAGCCACAGAGGCAATGGGGCAGAAAGAGAGGTGGGGGCAGAGACAAAGCTAATGTCAAGTAGGGTTGTCTGGTTGCCACTGTCAACCTGCTACTGTCAACTATGTGGCCATAGTGTCTTTTCTAAGGGTCCTCCACTGGAAGGTCATGAGCTGCTACCTTGACTACTCTATCCCCCACTGGTGGAGGTGGCCCTTGGGTCCACAATGGACCTTAGTGGATGATATGCAATGGTTCCTGCTCACTCATGAGGTCTTGGCACTAAGTCATACCTCCCCTGGTCTGGCACAGGCACTGTACAGGACCACCGGACTTCTGTCTTGTTTTTGCCCACATTGTAGGTCCATGATGTGTCCCAGACATGAGTCCACACCAGTCTTTCTAGGGGGCTTTCCCTTTGAATTTCTCTGGAAGAGGAAGTCAGAACCTAAATAGTCACACAGAGAACTGTTTAAGGGACTAACAAGGAAGTCTAACTAACAGGTACATGAGTACCTGTTTTTGAGTGATGTGGTAAATATATAACTCATAGAGGGCAAACCCATGTTTGTCCCTTATGTACTGCCACTGACCACCTGACATTAGCACAGATGTCACAAGCAAAAGGTACTATCCTCATAAGGCATCCCCTCACTTCAGATGCCAAACACAGGCTCTGGGGGCCCAAGGCAGGTGTTCTGACCAATGAGCTACAAATGCAGGTGTTTCCATTACAAGCTTTGATTTGATAGTTTGAGTGATTCACAAAACTTAGTAAAGCATTCCGCTTATTATTTTGTTTGATTATGAAAGCTCCTAGTCAAATAAATAAAGAGACATAAGTTTGGGAGGGCACCAAACTTAGAAATTTTTGCTTTAGGAATGGACTGTATTGTCTTCACCGCTCATCAAAGGGTCTAGGAATCCAGGGAGTATCCTCTGAGTCTCAACCAGACACAAGATGTTCATCAATCACCAGAACGTGCAGAAGAGTCAACATCCCTTTGAAGGGCAAACCCCAAGTTACCAGAAAAATAGATGGAAGGGGTTGATAGAGGAAAACAAAATAACCCAATGGTTTGCCTCAACGCAGAGAGAACTGAGACTGGAGACATATGCCTGCTGATAGCCGTGTTGTAGATTTCCTAAGATGTTTGTGTGACTTTCCAGTGAATGTACACCATGTATAAAACATCCGTGCCATGACCCAAACCAGAATGGTTCTCACAGAGCAATCTAAGTACTATGCCCAGGTCCAGTTACCCACTAAAGTTATAATCTTTTTAAAATTTTTTAAAATTTATAAAGTAGTTCACAATATTTGATTACATTTTATATTAAAAGATCAATTCCACCACCATTGCACCTTCTCACCACCATATTTTTTTTTGCCACCATAATTTTTTTTTTAATGTAGGAGTACTGCTATTTATTCAGCCACTGATTAGCTGATTGA